GGGAAGAGGGAGGACGGCGACGACGCGAACGACGAAGAAGGAGGAAGGACGGCGACGCCGACGACGACAACGACGAGGGAGGAGGGAAGACGACGTCGACGACAACGACGACGACGACGACGGCGACGAAATAGGAGGGACGACGACGAGACGCCGACGACGGACGACGACGACGACGAGGGAGGAGGAGGAAGGACGGTCACGGCGACAACGACGACGGAAACGACGACGACGCCAAAGAGGAGGACGACGACGAACACGAGGAAAGACAGAGGTCGACGTAGGCGACGACGACGACGACGACGCGGGAGGAGGGAGGACGGCGACGACGACGACGACGACGACGCAAGAGCGTGTGCGCACGCTTTTGTTGACCATCCGTGTTGCGAAACCTTGTGTTTCTGTAGGTTTTTTGGGAACTCGATTGCGAAATCCTTTCGAAGCCGATGGGTTTTGAAGGATTTCGGCATACGCGCGCGACGACGCGCGCGTCTGCACTTCGTCCCATTTTTTGCAGAGGATTCTCGCGACAGCATACGCGCAAGGGCGTTCGACAGATTTCGACCTGCGCGCGCGCGAAGCCCGTTTGGTAGCATTTTGTGTAAATATTGAAAAACCTATGGTTTTCATAATATTTCGCAAGAGCTCGCGCGTAAGCTTTTTTCGCAAATCAGTGTTGCGAAACCCTTTACTTTTGTATGTTTTTTGTGAACTCGATTGCGCAATCCTTCCGATACCGAAGATTTTTGGAGGATTTTGGCATGCGCGCGCGACGGCGCGTGCGTGTGCACTTCGTCCCAATTTTTGCAAGGGATTCGTGAACAAGTGTTATGTTAGAACAAAAGATGTCCCCGCGTACCGTTTTTTACAAAGGAACCTCAAGGGGGTCGATACCGGCGCCCCTGGGATAGTGTAAATTCATATCTAGGATGGACATGTGGTCATAATCATAAATGATTTACATGCCCGAAAATGGTACGGATAACTCCGGGGGGGGGGGGTAGAGTTTATTCTCTTTTTAGAAAGGAGAATCTACGCGGTGCAACCTATGCAATGCAGCCAATGCGGTGCAGTCTATGTGGTGCAATTGAATTTTACCCATGGTGTGACACATCTCATGCTCTTGCAAGCATCCCGCCCACCCATCGGCAACTTGGTTTGCAAAACCTCTTAAGACCGTGACGGTAGGTTCCAAATGGCACTTGGCAACGACACCGGCGCCCACGACGACAACGCCGACGACGACTACGACGACACCGACGACGTCTCCGACGACTTCGACGACGACGACGACAACGACAACGACGACGACACCGGCGACGACGACGACGACGCCGACGACGACGACGACGACAACGCCGACGACGATGACGACGCCTACGACGACGACGACGCCGACGAGGACGACGGCGACGACAACACCGACGACGACGACGACGCCTACGACGACGACGACGACGACGACGCCGACGACGACGACGAGGGAGGAGGGAGGACGACGACGACGACAACGACAACAACGACGAGGGAAGAGGGAGGACGGCGACGACGCGAACGACGAAGAAGGAGGAAGGACGGCGACGCCGACGACGACAACGACGAGGGAGGAGGGAAGACGACGACGACGACGACAACGACGTCGACGACGACGACGACGCCGACACCGACGACGACGACAACACCGACGACGACGACGACGCCTACGACGACGACGACGACGCCGACGACGACGACGAGGGAGGAGGGGGGACGACGACGACGACAACGACGACAACGACGAGGGAAGAGGGAGGACGGCGACGACGCGAACGACGAAGAAGGAGAAAGGACGGCGAGGAATGACGGCCACGGCGACAACGACGATGGAAACGACGACGACGCAAAAGAGGAAGACGACGCCTACGACGCCTACGACGCCGATTTTTGCAAGGGATTCGTGAACAAGTGTTATGTTAGAACAAAAGATGTCCCCGCGTATTTTTTTTACCTAACAGCGAAGACTGATAGGTTTCTAATGGGGTCAAAAGAAAGCATCTGATGACTCCCCAGGGGGGTCTGGGCGGGAGCCGGACAGGCGAGGGCCGGGCTCGTTTTAAGCAAACAGTCACACACTTCGTGCTCTTCGACCTCCCAGAACTCCATTCCCGGGCCACATTTTGAATGACCGGAGCCAACTGTAGGCCATTTCGAGCTCTTCGACTTCCCAGAACTCCATTCCCGGCCCACATTTTGGATGCCCGGAGCCAACTGTAGGCCACTTCGTGCTCTTCGACTTCCCAGAACTCCATTCCCGGGCCACATTTTGGATGCCCGGAGCCAACTGTAGGCCACTTCGTGCTCTTCCCGAGTGCGACTGCGAGAACACCAGAATTCCACAACAGCACTCTTACATGAATACCAAGGCAATGTTTCCAGCTATGCTTCTACACATCGCTGTTAGGTTGCTTTGCCGGGATAATGAGTATTTTTCACCTAACAGCGAAGACTGATAGGTTTCTAGTAGGGTCAAAAGAGGGCATCATGACGCCCCAAGGGGGTCTGGGCGCGATCCGGGGGAGTGCCGGGGAACTCGTTTTAAGCAAACAGTCACACACTTCGTGCTCTTCGAATCCCCCAAACTCCATTCCCGGGCCACAATTTGAATACCCGGAGCCAACTGTAGGCCACATCGTGGTCTTCGTGTTCCCAGAAGTCCATTCCTGGGCATGATTTTGAATGCCCGGAGCCAACTGTAGGCCACTTCGTGGTCTTCGAGTTCCCAGAACTCCATTCCTGGGCATGATTTTGAATGCCCGGAGCCAACTGTAGGCCACTTCGTGGTCTTCGAGTTCCCAGAACTCCATTCCTGGGCATGATTTGGAATGCCCGGAGCCAACTGCAGGCCACTTCGTTTTCTTCGAGTTCCCAGAACTCCATTCCAGGGCCACATTGTGAATGCTGAAGCAGGCTGAGGCTGAGGCTGAGGCAGGCTGAGGCTGAGGCCGAGGCTGAAGGCAGACTGAGGCTGAGGCTGAAGCAGGCTGAGGCTGAGGCTGAGGCTGAGGCTGGCAGGCTGAGGCTGAGGCAGGCTGAGGCTGAGGCTGAGGCTGAGGCAGGCTGAGGCTGAGGCAGGCTGAGGCTGAGGCCGAGGCTGAGGCAGACTGAGGCTGAGGCTGAAGCAGGCTGAGGCTGAGGCTGAGGCAGGCTGAGGCTGAGGCTGAGGCAGGCTGATGCTGAGGCAGGCTGAGGCTGAGGCTGAGGCTGATGCAGGCTGAGGCTGAGGCAGGCTGAGGCTGAGGCCGAGGCTGAAGGCAGACTGAGGCTGAGGCTGAAGCAGGCTGAGGCTGAGGCTGAGGCTGAGGCTGAGGCTGAGGCAGGCTGAGGCAGGCTGAGGCTGAGGCTGAGCAGCTGAGGCTGAGGGCTGAGGCTGAAGGCTGAGGCTGAGGCTGAGGGCAGAGGCTGAGGCTGAGGCTGAGGCTGAGGCAGAGGCTGAGGCAGGCTGAGGCTGAGGCTGAGGCTGAGGCTGAGGCTGAGGCAGGCTGAGGCTGAGGCTGAGGCTGAGGCTGAGGCTGAGGCTGAGGCTGAGGCAGGCTGAGCTGAGGCAGGCTGAGGCTGAGGCTGAGGCTGATGCAGGCTGAGGCTGAGGCAGGCTGAGGCTGAGGCCGAGGCTGAAGGCAGACTGAGGCTGAGGCTGAGGCAGGCTGAGGCTGAGGCTGAGGCTGAGGCTGAGGCAGGCTGAGGCTGAGGCAGGCTGAGGCTGAGGCCGAGGCTGAAGGCAGGCTGAGGCTGAAGGCTGAGGCTGAGGCTGAGGCTGAGGCTGAGGCTGAGGCTGAGGCTGAGGCTGAGGCTGAGGCTGAGGCTGAGGCTGAGGCAGGCTGAGGCTGAGGCTGAGGCTGAGGCTGAGGCAGAGGCTGAGGCTGAGGCTGAGGCTGAAGCAGGCTCAGGCTGAGGCTGAGGCAGGCTGAGGCTGAGGCTGAGGCAGGCTGAGGCTGAGGCAGGCTGAGGCTGAGGCTGAGGCTGATGCAGGGTGAAGCTGAGGCAGGCTGAGGCTGAGGCCGAGGCTGAAGGCAGACTGAGGCTGAGGCTAAAGCAGGCTGAGGCTGAGGTTGAGGCAGGCTGAGGCTGAGGCTGAGGCAGGCTGAGGCTGAGGCTGTGACTGCGACTGCCGTTGTCACTGCGACTGTCATCGCGAATGCGACTGCGACTGCGAGAACAGCAGAATTCTACAACTGGATTCTCATCTTAATCTTAAGGGGAATGCTTCCAGATATGCTCCTACACATCGCTGTTAGGTTGCTTTGCCGGGGTAATCACAAAGTAACCTCAAGGGGGTCGAGACCGGACCCCCTCGGATAGTGCAAATTCATATTTCCGATGGACATGTGGTCATAATCATATATGATTTACATACCCGAAAGGGGGGCCGATAACGCCGGGGGGGGGGGTAGAGTCTATTCTCTTTTTAGAAACGAGAATCTATGCGGCGGCGACGGCGGCGACGCGCGGCACCACCCGCAAAAGCCGCCACTCGCCCCGAGCGGCGGCGACGGCGACGGCTGCGACGGGCGGCACCGCCCGCAAAAGCCGCCACTCGCCCCGAGCGGCGGCGACGGCGACGGCGACTGCGACGGCGGCGACGGGCGGCACCGCCCGCAAAAGCCGCCATTCACCCCGAGATGGTTCAGCCAAGTAAGAACCCCTAAGTGCAAGCACTGTTTGGGGAATAACAGACAAACAAAAACAACGGTATAAACACAAACCATGGGGGGTCCTAGTTCGGCGCTGGGCCCCCCTTCCCTGGCGCGCGAAGCGCGCCAGAGACGGTGCCAATGGCGCTGCCAGTGGGGCCTAGCGCCGATCCAAGCAGTCTGTGCGAACCTTCGAGAGTTTGTGCTGATATTTTCTTTCCTTCTTCGAGAGAAGCATACGGCGACCGACTGGAGTCGGCGGCCGAACCATGGACTCCACATCTGCCTCCCCTGAAGCGAATACGGCGGCACTGGCCCCCTCCCCCTTCAAGCGCAGACAACCTGCCCGACTGCGCTGGCCACCCGAATACAGCATGTGCGGCTGGCGGCGGCAATGCATATGCTGCGCTCGAACGCCCGCTGACAAGTTAAAGCAATGAAAACTGGCTCAGCGCACACTCCGCCTGCAAGGCCTCGACGCGTGGACCCTACGGCCGACGTGTTCCTGACCAAACTACTGGTGCGTACCCCGTGTGGCCACATCGTGCGGGCGCGCCCGACGCCCAACCTCGGAAGAGATCCTCGTGGACTGGCGGCGGCCGCCGGCGCTCTCAGCAGAGACTACGTGCTGCAGTGGACGTCGCGGACGTCCCCTGGCAAGATCGGGAGCGGGTACGGGTGCAGGATCTTCGTGAGCCACCACTGGGGCGCAGGGAGCAAGGCAATCTCAGAGTCGCCGCACTGGACCCCGCCGACCGTGCAAGAGCGCTTGCCGGTGGCGGCGTCCTCTTCCAGCACCACCTTTTGGAGCCCGATGCTTACGCCTGCGCCTGCTGATCCCCGCTCTTGTGCCCGCCATCCAGGAAGAGGAGGGCATGAATGGTGGGGGGCCGAAGAAGAGGTGTGAGGGTGAATTGAGAAGGGAAATGAGGATGAAGAACACGAGGAATATCAACAACAAAAGCAGCATGACCATGAGGAGTGCAAAACTGAGAGCAGCCCTTCCACCCAGAGCACCTGCTCGCCTTTGTACGCGGCGTAACTCTGCGGAGTGCCAAACCACGGGACCTTAGTGTACCTGTCGGCGTGCAAACAATTATACTGTATGAGCGGGGTATTTTGTTGTTGTGCTCCGCTGTCGGGAGTCCTGTCCCATGGCGTTCGGGAGCTCATAACCCCTGTTTCACCATGGGGGTTGAAAGTTTCCGTCCGCCCTGGCAGAAGCAACGAAGGAGAAAACCAATGCCCCAGTCATCGCATTGTGCGGATCTCATCACAGCGCATCATGTGTCAAAAAGGTGGGGTTGGTGGGTGGGACACGGCACAGGTTTTGAGATCGTAGCTCGTGGCCCGTCGTCTGGGCAGTGCAGCACTTTCAATGTTTCGCCAGTTCTCCGTCAGGAGGGGAGCTTTCTCAGCCCGATGAAACGGCAAAGCGTGTAATTGTACTTCATGGTGAGCTTTTCTTTGTAACAGTTTCATGCTCAGATCCAAACGATGTATGGGAGAGGTACTTCTTGTCGCCGTGGCTTAGTGTGGTGTTGTGCCGTGGAGCTATGGTTAAGATCGCGCTACTAGGGTGAGGGCCGGCTGGCCGGCGGGCGTGCGCGGCGGGCAGTCCGAACCACTTTTCAGCGATTGAAGCCAACGCAGCTTCGGTGATTGTCGATAAATGACGCTGAGGCAAAGCAGGGGTGTGACTAAATCAACTCCCCCCGCGCCCTCCCCAGCGAGCTCCACTCGCACGGGTGGACATTAACGATTTGTCAACGCCTCACTTTTGCTAAAAAAGCGGCCCGTCGCGCCGCGCCCGGCAGGCAGCTCGCCCGCTACCTGGCTCGCAGCGCTCTGAGACGCTCGGTGCATAGCACGGTTGCGTCGAGGGGACACCCGCAGCATGGCAGCGAATGCCCCTCGTTCTCTTCCACTCAGCCCCTGCTGTGATCGTCGCGGCTCCAGCTGCTGTAAGCTTGCCTGTCGCCTGAGCTCCAGATCCAAGACGACCGCCAACTGTCGGCGTTCTCTCGCCACGGGGGAATGGAACCCGTGTTCTCGCGCCGCGGCGGGGTAAGGTTCATGCGCTGCCGTGGCGAGTCGGCCTTCTCGCGCCATGGCGGGGCGGTGCCCGCGTGCAACCAGAAATCTCTCGCTGCTGGGAGGGGCGGGGGAGGGGCGGCGGAGGGCGGGAGAGGGGCGGCGGCCCGGGCGCCCTGGCGGGGCTTGAAGAGGCGTCTCCCGAGCGCGAGTGCGGGTCCCACTGGGTCGGGCTGTCAGCTCGGCGACGTATTGATTCCTGTGGGCCATCTGGCGCGCGACCGCTTCGCCTCTTAGCTCCCTTGTCCCTTGCAGTCGCTCTCGGCCTCCTTGTCCATGCCTTTGCCCTTGGCGTTGTCCGATGTTCTTGCTGCCGTGGGACGGCCCATAGGCCTCACAGAGTTAGGCCCCTTTCTCCAGTGGGGGGCTGCGCTCTAGGGGGGGCGCCCACCCTGGCATAGTCAGGTGGTGCCAGAACCCTTGTTTCCCGCGCTGTCGGCCGTGGAGCTCCCAGAATTTCAACTGGCGACCAATAATTTTAGATTTCCTTCTCCATTGCAGCTTTCAATTGACTGAGCGGTTGGACTTCGGCGCTCCGCGGGGACTCTCTGCACCGCGCGGACCAACCCATGCTGGGTTCTTAGCGATGGCAGCTCCCCGGGGAATCGTGCTCCCAGTCGAACGGGTCGAGACTGGGATGGCCGCCCCCTTTCCAGAATCCTCCTGCTGATGCGCGGCCGCCGCGTCCACGGAGGAACGACAGCGTTGCTGCCAGTACCGGGCGTCTTGAGATATGCGTTCTGGATGTGCGTGCTGGAACTTGATCCACGCGTGGCCCAAGTTCTTGGCCTTTTCCTGCTTGTAGGTGTTCCGTTGCCCCGGCAGCTCGTCATCTGGGGGCGTTGGTTGCCGGGCAAAGGCCGTCGTGATGTTGCTGCGCAGCGCGGTCTTGCCCTGCAGGCAATTCTCTCTGTGGGTGCCGATGCCATTTTCACCGGTGTCTTGCCATCTGTTCTGTGCGCGTACTTGCGCCTGGTCTGTATCGTGGCCCTTCGATTTCCCCCCTGTACTTTGCGCCGTGCGGCTGGAGGCGTAGCCCCCGCTATCTCGGAGGTCGATCTTCGGCCAAATCGTGTCGGAGTCAACGACGAAGGCGCCGTAATGAGCGGGCGCCCGGCATGTGAGGCAGATCGAGGTGCCCAACCGATTGCGGCAGTCGTTGCTGCGCAGGGGGTATCCATCGCTCCAGTAATGCTGCGCGCAGAGTGCGCTCGTCTTCGCAGTGGAAGCGAGCGCGTCATTATCTTCGTCAGCGCCAGGTATCCGAGCGATGACCTGATTCTGTTAGGCCCAATCTATACATGTCGTGTCGAAGTCAGGGAAGACTCCGGGCGCAATGTACCTTCGGTCATAGACCAAGGTCCACGAGACCTGGATCCGCCGTGTCCCAGACACGGTAAGACGCATAAAATGATGAATGTCGCTCCACTTGGGCCGGAACGTAATTGCCAAAGGGCCGTCGCGTTGAATCCAGATGTCCTGATTCTCCGTGCCGGCTGGAATGTCCCACCCGAACCTGGCTCTTGTTCTCTGACAGCTGCGCCTCCAGGGGTAGGGTACGCACCAAGCATAGTCGGTAGGCTGGTCATGAAACGGTGCTAGCGCACGCCCTGGAGTTCCCTCTGTGGCGCCGCATTGTTCTTGGTCATAGACCTTCGCGCCGAGACATCGTCCAATGGAATGACTATGGCCTGGTGGGAGTGCATCGTTGCCGCGTCATACTTTATGAGCATGCGTTTGGGGTCAACAACTCGGACAGGGTGACCCTTGCAACCGCGGAACAGCAGGGGCACTGTCGTCATGGGCTTCACCATGGACGCGTTCCCGACAGAGTCGTCGTTGCATGGTTTGCGCCCGAAGCTTTTGCCCCAATCTTCTGGCTCAACCGTGGGGGCATCTTCGGCTTGCGTTATGTTCGAACCAAGTATCTGAGCAGTATGGCGTGGCAATTGAGCAAGAGCATGCACGAGGCATGTCCACGCCTTGTCGTAGCCCTCGTCGTCCAGCATCTTGACGATGTCAGTTGCCTCGGCTCATCTTCCTGACCTGCGAACGTGGGCTGCGCGATCCATCGCCAGGTGAGCGATGAGGGAGCCACTGCGTCCAACTCCATGTTCGTATCCATGTCCGAAGGCCACGCAAGCGCGCAAGTCGCCGTTAAGGTTCATCGACATGGGGCCAATCTCGGGCTTCCGGAGACAGTGGGGCTCGACCGTGTTGTAGCGGGCGCGCAGAAACCGACGTGCGTTCGCCCTGTCCTCAGGGGACAAGCGGCGCAAACAAATCCAGTAGCGCATCGCCCACCAGGTCGCGGGGCCTCTCCAGCGCCGCCCCGCTTTCCTCTGTCTGCAAAGGACTCGGGGCCGGAGTCGTGCTGCTCCTCCAGCTTTCGGGCCAGCTCGATGTTAACGGCCAGCAGCCCTGCAGAATCGTCGTCCTCAATGAGCGAGGCCCCGAACTCGTCCACCTCGGCGTGCTCCAGCGTGTGGTGGGACGTGTCCCCTTTCTCCTTTCTTCTTTTCTTGAACTCATGCATCGAGATCAGTTCCTTCTAGGGCGGCGTCGGGGCCCCTTTCAGAGGCAGAAGTATGATGCCAGAGAAAAGGCTCAATCAGGAGCTTTCTAGGGCTATAGTGCCATGGGGCAATAGTGCTACAGGGCTAGAAGGCTATGGGGCTATGTGGCTATAGGGCTGTAGGGCTATATGGCAATAAGGCTATAAGGCTATAGGGTGATTGACGCTATGCGGCTATAGGGCTTTAGGGCTATATGGCTATAGGGTTATCGAGCTATGAGGCTATAGGGCTATTGGGCTACCGGGCACCCGGGCGCCGTCTGGGCACCCGGGCACCTGGGCGCGCGGGCGCCTGGGCACCCAGGCGGGCCGTCAAAATCGGCGGCGCAGCCAACCTAACCATATGAATCCGCTCGGACCCCTAGAGAGGCGAGCTCTGATTGGGGAACTTCGACACGAATGTATCAGGAAGCCTGTTGAAGATAACGTCATGGGGAATTAGCCTAAGCTTTTGAGCCGGTCTCTCCACCGCTTGGTGCCCCCCATCGCCGCCCCGATCGTCTCCGGCGCCGTCCGCCTTCTGGCGGTCCTCGTCCTCCACAGCCGTAAGCGACATCTGAACTCGGTCGCGGGCGCCAGGAGGCGGCGGAGGCGGAGGCTGCTCCTCGTCTGACGCTTCCAGGTCCACTGAGCCCGGTGTCTTTTGGACGGTCGACTGCTCAGACTTGGGGGTCGTGCCCTCAAGAGGTTCCTGGGCCTACGCAGGTGGCGCGTATCCAGAAGGTAATGGGGCAGGATGGGGCCCCGCGGTATACCCGCGGGTCCCGTCCTCCGTGCCCGCAGCAGGCGGTTGACGCTGCTCGTCCCGAATCAGGTCCGAGTCCGTCGAAGAAACCGACGGGCTGTCAGCGTCCTCGCTCAGCTCTGCCGCCCCATCCAAAATCTCAGATCGGCACCATAGCTCGAAGAGCATCTTTTCGTGCTCCAGGACCTTGGCGGGAGCGTTGTGTCGATAGGCGTTGGCCCAATGGCAATGCGCACGCTGATGCGATGTGCATGGGTCAATGTGTAAGGCCGTGTTGAACAGCTGGCAGTGATCGCACGATCCCACCAGCTTCAGCATCGACCCTGCGTTCACCTCCTTGGGCGTCGCGCGCTCGTGCAGTAGCACCCGAGTTGGAGACGCAGGTATACTTGCTCCATTCGAGCCACAGACTTATCGGCCTCTATGACACGCTCTCTCGTCAATGGTTTTGTCTCATCCATCGGCGGGGGCTGATGACATGGCCCTCCATCTCGCGGGTCATGCGGCCATGCGTCTGGGGGAGCGGACGGGTGCAGCTCCTTGGAGGGAAAGCGAAGCCTCGCATCTGCATAGTACCCCCTCTTGAAGCCTCCTGTTCCCAAGTGCCCCTAGTTCGACCGCCGACGCGCTGCTCCTTGCCGGCGGGGCGCTCGGAATGCCGCGG